TTTGTGGGCTTAGAATTTTGCTTATGCAGACAGAAAATAATCTTACATTTATATCTGCATTGTGGAACACAGAGAAACACTCATCACGCCACAAAAGAGTGACAAGGGAAGAAATGAGGAAGAGTGCTTTAAGTAAGCAGATTTACTAAACTTGGACATAAATGCAGGAAAAGTGAAGACCAAAATAAGCAACAGGAAAGCCTCTAGAGGAGAAGTGGTAGAAAAGAAAGTGAACAAAGCAAGTGAGGAAGTAAATGAGTAAATGCCACAGAGCACATGAGGGCCAGGCTGCAAAACTTAATCCAGAAGAACTTAAAGGAGAGACTTCCAAGAAAAATTATAAACAAAATTGGGGACATTTACCAGGAAATTGCTGTAGAGGAGACTTACATACATTTTAGATACTGACAATGATTTGAGACATTTCTCAATGACAATTTAACCAGGACTTATTATCATACAAGGTGTAGCTTGCCCAGGCATGTGTGGCTGACTTTTTTATTCACTTTTTCCTATCCATTTCTAAACGAATGGCTCTTTTTTTTTTTTTTTTTTTGTGGAACCAAGGATTGAACTCAGGCCCTTGCTCTTTGCCAGGGAAGTGCTTATTCCATGGAGCCATCTCTTCAGTCCCCACAAAGAGCTCATTTAAAGTGCCATATTTTTGTTTCTAAAATAAATTCTATTTATCTACAGTTTAGGCACAGTGTGAACATGAATTGGAAGTGTTTCCATTTCTCCTGGTTTGCCTCCGCCAGGTCTACATAATGCAAAAGTGTAAAGCCTTACCTCAGCCTGGCTTCGATTAGTATTCTAAGAAAACATTAGAGTCACATCTCCATAAATGGCTTTTATCAGTTGATCTAAAACCTGAAACATGGACACCCACTTCCCATGCATTAGTTCTCTATATACATGGACAAAGAAACTGAAAGCAGGCAGCTTGTTTCCATCACAGAAAAAGTTGGAGATAATGTCCTGCATAACCACAGCATCTTTTTTAACTAATTTTATTGAGGAAAAAAATTGCAAATGAGACAGCTTCAAAACAGGTTCGTAGGAAAGTTACAACAATTAATACATTGTATATTGTTGTCTTCGTAGTAGTCATTCATAGCAAAAGATGCAGACATGATATCCTGTCCAAATACTATTAGTACAAATCTTTATTCTTATTGAATTAAGAGAAAGTAGCTGTATATCTATCCTAACTATTTTGTATATACAGATACAAAATTATTCTTCATTTATATCACTTTTTCTGTTTACTTTTGTCAGAGATGGGCATTCCATTGCCATCCAAATATTGTAGGTGTATGAATTCAGCAAAATAACCCAATATAGTCCAGTAGTCTAAATAGTAGTGGGTTATCCACAGGACTAGCAATGTCTGAATCTGATGACTTGAGCTTTCCACAGCTCAGCATATTAACATGGCTTCACTTTTCCTACCTCATTTCTATGCTTTTCTGCTGGATGGTTAAGACCAAGATAAAGCAAGACCTATATAACAAAAAATGTATCTTTTGTATCTGAGACGGTCAGTCAAATCCCTATAGCACTTATTCTGAAACCCTGTACTGCACATTGTAGATCCTTTGTCAGTGTCATCCATGTGGATGAGTCACAGCCATTGCCTGACCAATTTGCTCTCTGTGAAAGCCTGAGAGAATGTTTTCTCTCCATGTGACTTTCCCCAGGCACACTCTACATCATCGATCACATTCCTCTTTGTCTCCATAATCTCCTTGATCAGAAAATGTGGGATACAACTGAGTTACATGATGTTACCTTACAGGTTCTCCTATGTCCTGAGTCCTCACTGACCTTGAAAGACTAGGGCCAAAATGTTGGCTGTCCTTGCAGCCCTTCATTTTTCTCTGCTTTTTGGTCTGCAAACTTAGGTTGTTAGCCACAGAGTCTTGAC